AAATTCATTTAAATAAAATTGTATTTTAGGTCCCAACGTGACAGACATTTGTTAAAAGTTAATAATAAGGATTAAATTATCTCAATTTTAATTATTTAAGATTCAGAGTACATCTTTTTAAATATTTAGAATTCAAATCGCGTTTGGATCCATGATTTAGGGTCAAAATTACATATTAATCCTTTTGTATTTTAAAAAATGCACTTTAATCAATAATAACTTAATAGTAATTGAAAAAAGTGTACTTTGCATATTATATCAATTTTTAAAAATATTTTAAAAGAGCGTGTAAGTTTCTTGATTTAAATTGATCGATGAAAATAAAAATTTATAAAACAGAACCAAATACCTTTATGATAAATAAAGAGATAGAGAAAAAAGTATTTGAAGAGGAATATATTCTGGAATATAGTCTAGATTTTTTCCTAATATAGAATGATATTATGATGAGATTCCATTATGTTAAAGAATAAATAGAAAAAAAAATATAAAAGTGTGTTTATAGTGAAAAATTATGTTACACTCCTCCTATTACTGCCATTGATTGCCTATCAAAACCCACCTAACAAGAACAAAAATAATCAATTCGACACTACCTCATTCATACCTATCATAATTTTTATCAAAAATTTCTTTACTTATTATTACAATTTATAACCTTCTTTTATATAGTTTCATCATCGTCATTATTATTTACCTTTTTTTAATTTCTTATTCTCGTATCCTAGAAAATTTGTAACATTATTAAGGATTAATATACAATTTAAACTCTGAACTTTTAAAAAAGTGTATTTTGAATCCTTAGGAAATGTCTATCAAATTGAAATTTAAAGTGAAATTTTCTCTAAATAAATTTGACGGACGTTTGTTGAAAGTTAATAGTAGAGATAAAATTGCTTCAATTTTAATTGTTTAAGGTTCAAAATATATCTTTTTAAAATTTAAAATTTAAATTATCCCTGGACCTATAGTTTAGAGTGCAAATTAATATTTAACCCAATTATTTTTTTATTATAATTTTTTTTATTTTTATTAAATGTTGGTGTGAGAAAATGTATTATTAAAATATGTGTCTGATTAAGAGGAGGTGAAATTTGAAACTTATAAAATTAATACATTTTAAGATTTTTTTATTTCAATAAAACATATTAAAAAATAACTTATAAATTAGATCGAATTAATATTTTTTGATATAGGATCGATAAAGATATCGTAGCTAATTTTTTCCATCTTGCCCCCTCTTCAACATTGAGCACAGACATGGTAATTAAATTTAATAAATGACAAAATTAAAAGGATATACAATTTTTTTTTATAAATTTCAAAATATCAACCGCCACTTCTTAATAATTATTCTCAGTTAACTTTAGCCCGCAAGATGAGTCACGAGAGGGAGCATATACCTAAGCCAGGTGAGGCTGAGCTTGACATAAACCTAGCCTTTGAGATGAACACAATATGCCAGAAAACACCAACCTTAAAAGTCGCATGTAAGAATTACTCTCTTCATCTCAACTTATAAAATAATTTAAAAAAATTATTATCATAAAATATATAAGAGTTTTTTAAAAAATAAAATTTTATTAATAATATTTTTATTATATTATCATCCAAGTAGGGAGAAAATTAAAATAATATTACAATGTAATGGATATTCTTAAGAGTTTACAGTATTACTTTAAAAAAATAAATTTATAAAGTATTATTATTATGTTTTATTGGTATATATAATATTGTCTTCATTTTTTATAATTTAAGATGGAGAGAATATTAATAAATTTCTTCTAATTTTACACCATCACAATTTTTCTATGAATAGAATGGAGCGTTGTATACAAGAGAAATTGTATTTTTGTCTTTATATGTTAAAGAATTTTTCACTTGTTGTTTTATTTTTATTTATAAGCAAAATTATATATATTAATAAGTATTTATTATAATTTTTGTAAATTTCCCTTTATAAACTTGTAACTTTCATTCAAGAGAAACAAAATGTAGCATTATTTTCATTAAATACAAAGGTATTTTGGTCTATTTTTTTATTTACAAACATATAATTATTATAATTAATTAATTTTTTAAATTGTGTAATACAATTATATTTTTTTACAAATAAAAACGGAGAAAATATGCATATTATAAATGATTATTTATATTATGGATGTTCATAGGATATGACAGGATTGTGACACTCTTGTCTCATATCCTGTCCTAAAAAATAATTGAGATTGAATTTTTATTTTATATCTTATCTCATCTTAAAAGTTATCCTACATCATTAAGAATCGAGAGGTTCAGCCATCTTGATGAAACTAACAATATGGAAGAAATGCATGGATAAAAATATTTATTAAAAGTTTAAACAACATAATTTATAAAGTTTAAAATTAAAATAACATGAGTATATAAATCATAACAATTTAAAGTCAATTATTAAATTATATAAATAATAATTACAAGTATATAACTTAAAGTCAAGTTTACATAAGACATAATATATTATGATAGCAATTACAAGTGATCTTTGAGTTATAGGAGCAACAATAACAGACAAGCCAAGCACAAAATCAAGCTACTATTCTTCTTCTTTAATTAAAATATATTAAGCTGTTAATTCTTTCGAAGATAAAATAAGAAATACGATATAAATAAAAATTATTAAATATATATATATATATATATATAAAAGAATAAATTATATTAGTATAATCAATATATTGTAAAGAAAGAGATTATCTTGTATTGCTTACTTTGTATCATTAAAATTATTAATATAAAAACTTTTTAGTTTTAGATAGGAATTGCACACATTAAAATTATAATTAATATAAATATAAATTGTATTAATATAATATCATTAATGTATTTTTTAAATAACAAAATAATATATATATAATATTTAAGATGAGATAGGTTGTCTTTAAGGCCGATCACGTCTTCTATCTTGTCTCTTCCCATCCCACAGAGTTTCATCTCCTTTTTTTTTAGATCCAGAAAGACCTATTTTAATATAATTGGGATGAAATTGAACTGATTGGAACGGGCTAAAGGTTGAACAATCCAAATTTATGCGCAGGACACAAGTGAGTAATAATTTGAGCCCCTTTTTGGTGGTGGTAATGAGAAACCTTTCAAGTAGTTTGGTTTGGTGTGCACTGTGCACGATATTTTCAACAAGTAATAATGCAAAAAAGGATTAAAGGAAAAAAAAAAAAGAGCCGAAAAAAATAGCTGTGCCAGATTGCTGACAAGCATAGTATAGTCCAACTTTGTAAAGTTTACCGTACGTGAAATATATATACACGTATACATATAAAGTAATTAACAATTAATAGCTGTCCATTTCATAACCAATCCATGTGGTGGTCAAACAGCTTTTGTCTAAAACCCCCTCGTCCCAGGTCAAAAAAAAAAAAAAAAAACAAACGCCACCTCATCACTCCCAAATATAGATAAAGATTTATATCTACCATGCTATTCTGCGTTCTTCTATTCTTTTTCCTCCTAAAACAATTAACACAAAACTAGAAAATTTTCTTCTACACGTGCAAAAATTAATCCTTTTACGTTGATGATTATCACATATATTCTATATTTTGGGTTTTGGTAAAGACTGAAACCATTAAAAATAATAAAATTATAGAGACTAAAAATATTAAAAAAATTATAGAGATTAAAAGAAAAATCCAATTAAACTATAGGGAGTGATGATTTTGTTTTTCCTATATTCTATCTTATCCCAGTGTTATGACAGTGTACAAGAAAATTATGAAATATAAAACAAATTAATAAAAATAAAATTTTGTTGAATGTACTCTTTCAGTATTATATTTCTTGTCTTATTGTTCTCTAATTTTAATTTTTAATGTTATAGTAAATGAAGCGTGTTCTTAAAAAAATGTTTTTATTTTTTAAAAGTAAGATTATATATTATATTTAATAAACTTTATTCATGCGTATAATGTCATCAAATTTTACCTTATAAATTGGGGCAAAGAGAATATTTAATAATTTATTAAATAATAAATGATTTTCCCACACACGCACATATTAATTTAAACATTAAATAAAAGTAAAGGAAAGGGACACTGCGGTCGACGGGAAGACGATGGTGCTGTCTTCCTCCCACGCTTTCGTTTTCCTTTATCTGCTCTGCATCGTCGCTGTCATCGGCCTGTGTTTACTTTGACAGTGCTACTGCTGACGTGGCGCATAGTCGCTCTTCCGACTTTTTCTCCCACTGCTATCCCTGTTGGGTCGGATTCGGTTTCCGTGCTCCGTGGTGCAAGGCACCGAAAACGGTATAGTTTCAGGATTTTTTGTCTTTTTTTTTTAGATCACAAAATTATTATTATAATAATAAAATAAATGTTATAAAGTTATTATAATATTAAATAAAGTTCTTTTTTGACTCAAGTACATATAAATTTTAATCTCAACAATTTAAAAAATATTAAAAAAATAGGAAAAATGACCTAAACAATATAGAACAGGAATTTGATTTAACAAAATGATCTAATTTTTTACAATATGATAAATTAATATTTAAATTTTTATTAAAAAAATATTTACATTTAATGTTTAGTCATTTTTTTTAATAAAATTGTCTCTAATATAGGAACATCCCGTATAGTCAATAAAATTTAAAAAAATGTTTTATATTATATTTCTAATTTTTTAATATAATTTTGAATTGTTAAGGTCAGAGTTTATGTAATAATTTTGGCTTTAAAAAAATAATAACAATAATTTTATAATATTTATTTACTATAATAATAATAATAATTTTGTGATTTCAAAGAAAGAAAAAGAATAAAAAAACGTTGAAACTACACCGTTTCGGGTGCTGAGCACGACGGTGCCCATCCTACCGAGTCCCTGTTCCCTCCGACACTTTCCTCAGTCTGCATTCCCGCTCCTTCGCATCGTATTTTAGGGTTATATACGGAACTTAAATAGAAATATTCAAGGACAGTATTGTCCAAATACCACATCGTCTTAAATCATCAATTGAACAGGACAAAGCTTTTTTTCTCTCTCCGGGGACTGGCTTGCTGGTAGAAAATTTGTCCTCAACAGCTTTCGCGTTTTCAAAGTTTAAACTTTAAGCCCATCTCTCGCAGTCTCTCTTTCTCTCGCTTGTTCCTCTCCGTAGGCGTTTCAAGAATTTTACGCCAAAAATTCGCTGTACGATTCAATTCCAAAGATTTTCTAGTATCTTGGTATTTTAAGGTGCTGGTTTCGAGGCTTTGAAAGGAGATTCTTTTTTGGCTTTTTTTTTTTGGCCTACGAAAAATTTACGGGTGGATGTCCTGTTCGGTTTCTTGGTTTTGGTCGGTATTTTGGGTATCGAAGGAAAGTAAAGATCCTTGACGGGTTTTTGAAGTCGCTGCTGATTGGACGATTGGAGGGGAGATGACTGTTCCCGGTGGCTTTCTGATTTTGACGTTCATAGTTTTAGGGTTTATCATCGGTTTGTCTTCTTGAGGTTTTCTTAGGTTGTTGGGATTAAGCTATTTTCAGGTCTGTTTATCTTCCCAGCAATATTTTTTGGAGCTGAATATTTGCCACTTTTTACTTGCTTCCTGATCATTATAATTTTTTTTTTTTGGCTTTCCTGCATTACTTCTGTCATTTTCAGGCCGTTTGATGAGCTTGTTTTATGCCCCGAGCGACTTCATGTGGTATTAGTCTCCATTCTGCAGCTTTGTAAGTGTTGGAAAATTCTATGGAAAACTGGAAATAAAGTCCATCTTTTTTAATTATTTGGCGTTCTTTCATAGTTTAAGCTTTTTTCCTTCGGAATTGAGATCGAGAGTGGATAGCATCTGGGTCTTGTTAGCGAAAACCTCAACCAATGGGATTGTTTCCAGCATCAAGTTCTTTTTTAACCTTATTATTTTGGTTTAAGTAATATCTGTATAAGATCAATTTAAATTTAAATTCCATTTACAGAATAAGAATTACTTGCATATTTGACAATTGGCGTTATACCTGAAGTCAACCGTTATCTTTCTATCTGTGGGTCTTTTATGTTTTGTACAATCTGCTTGCGCGTCTTTGTTACAAAGCTCTGGTGAAAATATGAGGCCTAAAGTGTAATTCTGTAACTTCTGTTGCTAATAATGTAACAGCACAAAAACTATGCAACAACCAACATTCTCAGAAATAATGTCTTTTAAATGGGTGCACTTTGTATGCAGTTAAGGCTAAGTGCTGAAATATGATTAAATTTTTTGGTGGATGGATGTATTGATGGAGTTAATGTGCGGCTTAATTCTAGAAGTCGCTCATTTGGAAGGAATAAATTTGTTTTAAAACATTTTACTTGATAAAGTATATTATGGAATCCTGGAGACGTGATGCTGTGAATTCAGTAGAGTCACACCTACCTCGACACTACACGCGAATAAGAGCTGGTTCTATGCTCTTAGCTGTGGGAGAATACTTGCAAAGCCTAGAAATTTTGAAGAGAGAAACAGGGCTATTGACGATCCTATTAGTCTTAATCCTAATCCTTGATTTGAAAGGAGGAGAACTAAAGATAGAACAAGAATCTTTGCACGTGCAGCACACATAGGCTTCTTTCTTTAGCAGACCATTTACAAGATTAATGCAAAGTTGGATGTTTATCCATAGTGATTGCTGCGATGCCAACCTTGCTCATGCATCTTAGGCAGACGGCTTATGGCTTTTATTTTATTTTATTTATTTATCTTTTTTTGGGTTTTTAAACCTTTAGAAAAAGGAGGAAAGAGGGAGGGGGATAGAATGCTAGCAACTGTCTTTGGCATGTGAACTTCTATATTTAGATTTCATTCTTTACAAGTACAATTATAATCAATGTTCAATTTTTTTTTCTTGTAATAGGTTCTTGATTGATTGGTTTCCAAGTCTGATATTTGCATAGAACACACTATGGTAGCGAAAAATCGGCAGAATGCTCCTAATTCTCCTAGTCCAAAACCAGAGGTTGGAGAGATCGATACAAGTCCACCTTTTCAGTCTGTTAAAGATGCTGTCACTCTATTTGGTGAAGGAGCTTTATCTGGGGAAAAACCTGCAATTAGAAAGGCAAAAGCTTATTCTGCTGAGGTAATATCAGTTTTGTAGTTGTATGACTCATAATATAAAACTCTTGCGAGAATATCCCATGCCGTTAGATCATATCTGTTATGAAATTGTAAAACTATTTCTGAAAATTGCATGTTATGTAATTTTTTCCTGTAAATATATAATGATGGTCTTAATGATAGTAAGGTACTGTCCTGGAATTGGTCTATAAGTTCTGAGTCCAATATTGTGATCCTACTCTGTATTGTGATGGAAAATGTTGGAGAAATTTTTAATGTGAAAATAATTTGGAAACACGCTAAGTTTATAACAACGTATCTCTTGAAGTTGTTCAAACCATTCACTATTTGATTGGTCAAATTAGGTCTTTAAATATTTGCACTTTATTGATAAAAATTAACCTTCACTTCGATGTAGGACTAGGTTAGTTTAATTCTTCCCTGTCTTTGGAGACATCTGTATTATAGTCCATAGCAGATTTTATTGTGCTCTGCTTGGAAAGTCCCTTGTGCATGTGGTGAATCTTAACAGAGGTTTTCTTTTATTATATGCTTCAGTATGTTCTCCACGTCCTAGAGCTGAATTTGATTCTATATCCAATATTATGTAAATTCTCCCCCAGGGTGCCCCCTTTCATGTATATATATATATATATATAGAGAGAGAGAGAGAGAGAGAGAATCAGTCTTGTATTTGTGCTACAAAAAGCGGGCTTTTATCCAACAAATGCAAGGCATACAAATGTCTGCCATACTCTAATATTGCCTTCCTTAGCCAAAGCTGATTTTCTTTTTTGCTAAGGTGGTATTCCTTCAAACGTATCAAAAGTATAGCCAGTTTTTGAGCACGGTTATTCAATAAGTTCAACAAGAAGGATTTATATTATTTTCTAATTGCTTTAAATTAAACTCGTGTGTCAGAGATTACTCCAATAATCCTGATTTAAGCTAAATCTTCCTGTGAGAAGTTGATTCTTTGGTGTCAAAGGACCTTTGGACATCTTCCCAATGTGGCTCAACTTGATATCTAGCATGAAGCATGCTGAATTTTTAGTTTTAATAGCTACAGGATTTTTAATGATAAATGATTTTATCTGAAGATATAGTATTTTTTTTTTTTTTTTGAGACTGTGAAAGTGTGCATGGGTGCTAAAATATCTATATATAATTTATTCTTTATTTGAAATAACAAAGATTTGTGGCATGATTTTGTAGAAGTTGTACGTGGAGTGGACTCTGATGCAGCGCCGGTAGAGACTAGGTCTAACAATAAAGGGAAATAGGGAGATTTTGTAATTTTGGTTCAATATTCAATCAAAACTGTCATTCACCTTCAGAGGGAGTTTTATATAGAGCTCAAGAGAAGAAGTGAAATAAATCAGATAAAATTATAACAAAGGCTTAAAGTAAATGACATCATTAAAGCATTACTTCCTAGGATGCTCCTTGTATGTGAAGGGATTGGGACAAGTTCTGGACTCTGGTGAAGTCTGGGGTAGCTTCATCTACTCCAGGAAATACTTTGTTAAATTATCTCCTACATTCTGATGCTCAATTACCAGATAGATCCATCATCTATGTCCAATGAAAAACCACTAATTTTAAGCATCTAATCATAGTTCTTTTTTGGTGTATCCCTTTTATGCCACACACTTCACCATTCTTTTTCCCATTGCAATTTGCTAAGTTCGTTGTTTCGTGTAGAGGGTTTTGGCCAAGGAGACACAACTTCACTTAGCCCAGAAAGAGCTGAACAAGTTAAGGGAACAACTAAAGAATGCTGAAACTACTAAGGCTCAAGCCCTCGTGGAGCTTGAAAAGGCTAAAAGAACTGTTGATGATCTGACAGGAAAATTAAAGCTCTAAATGAATCCAGGGCATTATCAATTAAGGCAACTGAAGCTGCTAAAAATCAGGCCCAACAGTTTAAAGAGGAAAAGTATGGCAACCATGATGGAAATAATGGTGCCTGGAAAGAAGAATTAGAAACTGCAGTCAAGAATTATGCATCTGTTATCACAGAGCTTGATGCCTCTAAGCAAGAACTGAGGAAGATTCGTCAAGAGTGCAACTCATCCTTGGAGGCAAACTTTCTGCGTTCAAGCTAGCATCAGAAGCTGATGATTTGATGAAGGTAAACACAGAAAGAGCTGCTGAGCTGTCTAAAGAAATTTCCGCTGTGCAGGAATCAATTGAACAAATGAAGCATGCTACCATGCAAGCACAGCAAGATCAAGCTAGGATATTAGCTGAGAAAGATGTACTGAGACAGTCATATAAAGCCACCCTTGAAAACTCACAAAAGAAATTGCTTGCTTTGAAAAAGGAATTCAATCCTGAGCTCACAAAAAATATTGAGGTGCAGCTGAGTGAAACAATGAATGCAATTGGGGTACTGCAAAAAGAAATGGAAAGCAAGAAGACTTCGGACTTAGATACTGTGAAAAGTGTCACATTGGAGCTTGATGATGCTAAGGAATCACTGCAGAAAGTTGCAGAAGAGGAAATCTCTCTTAGAAGTTTGGTGGAAGCTCTTAAGGTGGAACTGGATAATGTGAAAAGGGAGCATTCTGAATTGAAGGAGAAAGAATCAGAAACTGAATCCGTTGTGGGGGTCTGCATGTCAAACTGCAGAAAAGTAAGTCTGATCTTGAAGCATGCATGGCAGAAGAATCCAAGGTTAGAGGTGCATCTGAGGACATGATCTTGACACTGAACCAACTGTCATCTGAAACTGAAAATGCACGAAGGGAAGCTGAAGATATGAAAGTTAAGGCTGAAGAATTGAAGAAGGAAGCTGAAGTCACCAAGGTTGCATTAGAAGATGCAGAGAAAAAGCTGAAAGTAGCGCTGGATGAGGCAGAAGCAGCAAAAGCAGCTGAGGCAAGTGCTCTTGATCAGATTAAGGTTTTATCTGAGAGGACTAGTGCAGCACGCGCATCAACTTCTGAATCTGATGCTAAAATTACAATCTCAAGGGAGGAGTTTGAATCATTAAGTGGAAAAGTTGAGGAGTCTGATAAGTTAGCTGAAATGAAAGTGGCTGCTGCCCTGGCACAGGTTGAAGCTGTGAAGGCCAGTGAACAGGAGGCGATTCAAAGGTTAGAGGCAACTCAGAAGGAGATCGAGGATATGAAGGCTGCTACGCAGGAGGCCTTGAAAAAGGCTGAGATGGCTGAAGCTGCAAAGAGAGTTGTAGAGAATGAGCTTCGCAAATGGCGTGAACGAGAGCAGAAGAAAGCAGCAGAAGCTGCATCACGTATATTGGCTGAAACACAGATTTCATCAGAGTCATCTCCACTCCATTATATGAATCAGAAGCCAAGCCAACCTCCAAAAGCTGTTGAGGTGCGGAAATTGGAGAAAGAAAAGGTTTCAATTTCAAAGAAAGTACTCCTGCCTAATCTATCCGGCATGTTTCACCGGAAAAAGAACCAGGTTGAGGGCGGATCTCCATCTTACCTGCCCGGTGAAAATCCAGTGTGAAATTTGTTACAGTTGTGCGGTTCTTGAATGTGAGAAGCATATTGGCTTGTGTGTAGTTGAAATCAATGTGAAGAGATTGTGGTGGTAGTGTTTGAGGGAAAGAATTGTGAAATGTCCATAGTTTTCTGTAAATGGAACCAAGTAGTATTGTTATATATTGGTATTTTGCTTTGCTGCTGGTATTGAGCTTTCATGCAGGTAGGAGTTCACTCAGTGAGCTCTTGATGATGACAACTACTAAACTTGCCTGCAAAGTTTTAACCGCTCACTGGCCTTTTTGTCTCTGCAGTGAGTTGTACCTGTAAGTAGTAGGGTTGAAGCAATCCCAGCCACGTGCTTGACGCTTGGACCTTTTGGGCACGCTTGAATTTTGGAATACGTATTAGATGTAATGCCACCGATGCCACCGAAATCCTACAGGAACCGCAACTGACATAATTTTAACGGAGATTCCACTCTAGAGTGAATGTTCATCGTGAGTTTTTGACTTTTCGTACGTTCGGTATTTTTTTAATTGCTACGCAACATTTTTGAGCTCTTACATAATTTATCTAGTTAGAAAATATTTGTCATAAAAGAAAAATGGGAACGCAGATATGAACAAAACTGATTTGTGTTTCAACTAAAAATAATAATGAGAAGAAATAATAATAATGAATAATATGGATATTGCAGATAATTACTGTAAATAATTGCATTAATGAAGTCATGTAGTTTAACAAATGCATAAATTTTAATAGGTTAAAGATTATTTTTCTTTCCAAATTACTTGAAAGGTCAATGAAGTTTCTAAACTTAATTATGGATCAATTTTGTTTCTTAACTTTAAAAATTATCTTTCTTATTATTTTGTTATTTTTTCACTATTAGTTTATTGTTAGTGGGTCCTACATTATATTTTTGATATTTTTTATTGTAAAATATTTGAGTTGAGGGTGTTCATTGAAGTTTGAATAAAAGTTAAGGGGCAAAAATAACTTTTAACTCAATAAAAATATTTAAAAAATAGTGGGATCTATTGATTACTAATAGATGTTAAGTGTTTTTAACATCAAGGTAATGGAGGAAAGGATTTTTAGCATTAAGAGACAGAATTGATTTATAATTAAGTTTATGGTCCATAATAATTTTTTGGATAAAGTTCAAAGGCAAAAATAACTTTGGATTAAGGGTTAAAAATATCATTGAAATACACTCGAAGGGTCACAAGTGACCCTAAAATCAACTTTAGGTCATTTATATCCCAACTTTGCAAAATTAGTGCTATGTTACCCTGACGTTTAGTCACTCTAGTGACACTGTCTTCATGCCGATGTGTACGTGTTTGGTTGACCAGCTATGTGCATGTAGACAAGCTGACATGACTAGGTAAAAGGAAAAAATAAATAAATAAAGAGAATGACAAAATCAAGAGCTAATCGAAAGGGGTAAAGATCCCCAATCCCTCTAGTTTGTTCTTTCTCTTTCTCGAGCATAGAGGAGAATCAGAGATAAAAGAAATGATCTTTGCGAGTGAGGAGACGGGGACAACACATGTGAAATCTAATTGATGTGCAGAGAATTGCATTGGAAGTTGAGGTAAGAAATCTCTAAATTTTGCATAATGAATTCTTGCATAAGGCCTTAAGTCTGTGTCGATGGTTGTTATTAAAAAGATGAGTTTTAGTCATGGTGGGGCATCTGACGATGGTGTCGGTGTTAGCACTGGTGAAGGTGGCAGTAATAGAAGTCCAAGTAAGTTGAGTGTGGAGGAGTACTTTTTGTTAGTAGACGATGTAGTGAAAATAGTTGAATAAACCAAGAAAAGATTTGCGCATGAGAACTTGGAATTAGAGGAAAGTGTAAAGTTAGGTGATTCGAGTCAAGGAAAGGGATTAGGAAGTGATGGGAATGTTGAGCAAGTCTCTGATGAGGACCATAAGTTTGAGAGAGAATTTGATAGTTTAAATGGTGAGAGAGACAATGAACAAGAGGGAATCGAAAGAGGGGGAGGCGAGATTGAGGAAATTGATACTTCTCAATTTACTGGGAAGGATACATTTGATGATCAAGTAGTTGAAGCTTACTTGAATTGGCATAAGAAGCCTGAGAAACAATTGGAGAAGACGAATAGAAATGTAAAGTATTCACTTGCTGATATAGAGAATCCAAAGAGAAATGTTGGACAGAATCATGTAATTGATGAGGATAATGGAGGTGAAAAGGAGGCACTCGAAAGTGAGTCAATTAGTGAAGATAACACTACTTAAGACAGTAAGGACAATGAATACTCTTGATTAATGTTATTGTCTTATTGGCCAACCTTCAAAGGTTTCTTTATTTCATATTCTATTTTGATAGCAATTTATTGAAGTTTACTTTAGTTGTTCATTGTTCTATCTTGTTCTATCTTCATCATCTTATCTAGATATGTATGAGTGTGTACATATGATACAAAGAAACATGGCTTGATATGTCATTATCATAAATGCATAAGGACATAATTCTTCTTATAAAGGTACATAAGCATAAAGGGTCTACATGATCAATTTTTCATATATGCCATCTTATAAAATTTCAAAAATTCAAAGGTCCCAATTAGTTTAATCTTTAATGGTCTCAAATAGAAGCATAAAAGGTCCACATGACATTATAAAAATGTACTACATTTCCATAAACAAAGGAGCAACTAAATATGTTACAAGGAACACCCAAGGCAATATTAAAGCTCTTATTGCCATCTTCAGCTTTTTCATCCCATCCAACCCATTTGTAATGCCATCAATCTCTTATTCCTTCTCCCTTCATCCACACAGCCTTTCCTTCTCTTTAATCAACATCTCAATATGACCTGGAAGCTTGAGAATAATGTGCTTCGGCCTTTCCTCCATTTCATCATCTAGCCATGAGAAAAATGGCATCCACCTTGACATTCATACTTGACACTCAATGCCCAGACTAGACAAATTCAGATCAAAGGAGATTAGTGCTAAGGCACACTTGATTGTAGTTTTTGCATCCAAAAAACCTTCTTCCAGGGTTTTCTCAATCCACAATGTCCATCTTGGCACAATTTCTCCACACGAATAGTACCTTAGTGTGGGTAGTCCATATCTCTAGCTCCTTGACTTTTGAATGAGACTCTCCTTCTTCAACTGTACCTGACGAAGGACTTGCTGAATCGCCCACCAAACTTGTTCGTGACATTGTATTTGATTAAGAAGCACCTCATACTCTGTCTTAAATGGAGAAACGTAGAAGATGGTCTTTGGTTTCAACATTTCTTTAACTTAAATGCCCCTCGATGCTTCTCATTTCTTTTTTTTCCCAAACAAAATGCCACGACATGCATTGAAACCAACACATCTACCAACTTAGCCACTGATTCAGCATACATGGCTTGCCAAATATGCAAAATCCTTGGCCCCACTAACGAACAAATAGTCAAAATACATTGACTAAATGTTAGGGTAACGAAACACTGATTTGCATAGTTGAGGGATATAAATGATTCAAAGTTAAATTTAAGATTATTTGTGATCCTTCGTGTGTACTTTAGAGATATTTGTGACCCTTAACCCATTTTAATATATTGCTTCATATGTTATTTCAAAAATAAATAATTTTTTATATTTATACATTTTATAAAAATAACAAAGATATAATCAAATATAAAATTTATCTTTTATCTTTATATTTATCTTTTTAGTACATTACATGTATCCCTATAAAATGTAAAATTAATAAAAGAAAATACCTGCGAATAATGCAGCTTTTTTCTTGCAACAAATGAGGACCCCCTTAATTAATTAGTATGAATACTAAAATTGAGGATCAATCAAAGAGTTGAGGCTGTGTGGAAAACTAGTAGGTACCAGCTTATAGTGAAGAGAGACAATTCTATAGAATGGGTTGGTTGGATCATTCAAATAGGCACATCTCACTTTGTTGGAACGTACCGAAACTGTTTCCATCTACACATTCCTTGTTCTGTCATACACAAAACACCGTCGCATGTTACCATTATGAATTTATGATGTCAGTCCTATATTGTTGATAACCAATAAATAAATAATGTGATCTCTTATACATTTTAAATTACTTAAATAAATAGATAAGTAGGTTTTCTATTAAAAAAAAAGGAATTTATGTGAATTGGTTGATTTTTGGCAATTTAAGATTGAAGCATGTATCCTAATTTGTCGTTGAGTCTGTATATGACATAAACATACTGGAAACCTACACATGAACATACCAATCTAGTGATAAGACCTTTTTTCTTTCAAGGAAATGGGTCCATTCTCTAAGCACAAGGACACATGGAATATATAGATGGATCATCAAAACAACTAAGGAACAGGACATACCATCACTGGACAAGGGTATGTTGAAATCCTGTTAATAAACAAGGTTCAAGTTCCCCATATTCCTGCGGCTAAATGATGACACGGGAAATATAACTTCCAGGAAAGTTTGCTAATAAATTAATACCAATTCATTTCAAATCACTTATTCAGTGGACAATGAGGGAAGTACTTATCTCTCAGTTTCTGACTGCAAATTTCTACCCCCTCTAATTAATTGATAGCATTCATCAATATATTAATCATATTCAACAGAGGGAGGAATCCAATACTACAACAACAAGCTTTTATCCCACCAGGTGGGATCGGCTACATGGATTGCAAGACGCCATTGTGCTTTATCATTTACTAAGCTTTTAAAAATATTATTAATTAAGAGATCGCGTTCAACAACTTCTAAGAGGGAGATATCCAATAAGATAAAGAAAATAACATGGCCTGCCCTACTCTTGCATATGTCACTGCTTTACCAACTAGGGTACTGAAATTCATATGAAAGCAAAACTTAATAACTTGTGAAGAAAATTGCTATGGCCCTATGCAGATCCAGAAACAGAAGGGACTGGGGCATGACTAATAACCAAAGGCGGTCGCAAAGCTTTGTGATTTGCCTCTTTCTGCTTACGAGCTCTATACATCTCTTCTGTTTCCACAACAACCAACCTTTTGACCTATAACAGACCAGAAAGTTCCCACAAGCATATTAAGACCAACAGAAAATTAAGCCACCGAAACAAATATATATATATATATATATATTGTGCACAAAGCTAAACCTGTTGGATCATTCCCCTGATACTGGGGTTGTTCTGACGCACAACAGTACGGTTACATTTGCGAAGGCATAAAGCCTCTAAAGTACGCCTGTGGAGTCTCCTGGTGCCTGGAATTCCCCTTACAAGGGTTATATATAGTTTTGGGCTCCATGCTATGGGAACACATGCTTTGAAAGCTTTAAAAGCATCCATTTTAGCCTACAGAACAACTTGGTAAGAGATCAAACTAGTAAAGCACTAAGCAGGATGAGAAAAGGATAATGCTTAACAAATTAACAATCAAGGGGAGCTAGCTAAAAGAAAATTAGTAGCTATGCAAAACCCATATTGAGGCATGTGTTCATCGAACTGGAAATTCCATGTATGGCATAAAGCAATTAAAACTGAATTTAAGCCACAGGCATTAGCATGGCCTAACTAAAACTGAACAGGGTAAATTATCTTAAGAGCATGTGTTGGAGGAACTTGGAAATGCTGAAAACCTGAAACCATAAAGTCCTAGAAAATGCAGATAGAGGAGGCACATTTGAATTTTGATATGTGAAATAAAAACTCGTGAATTTAAGTTGATGGAAATATTTTTCTTTTGGATATGTAATTCAACAAACATGGCTATAACTAGTAGTTGGTATTTTCCTAAGAACAATATGAGAATATTGTTTAATGCTTAACACACTCGCGCACACAATGGTTTTAGTCATAACCAGGGCTCCTAAATGGCAACCGATAAAATTTAGATACGCCCAGCACACACCTAGGAACATGGAAACGTTAATCCAACTTCCAGCAAATCCCTTGCTCTACTTATCCCATCGAATCTTAGGCCATATTAAGGTGGTGATGAAAAATATGTAATCGGATAAAACTTGCCAAGATAGAGATACCAACTACGACTAAAGTACCATTGAATCAACTAGCTTATATCTTTGTTTTTTTTGCCTAACTAATAGTTGTCATCTATATTGTTTACAGAAGTAGGTTGATAGCAGTCACAGGCGGACCTATACTAGATGCGCCCACGGAAATCTTTGAAATATGCATAGTTAATATAATGTCCTTTTAATTTTTGTTCCAGATACTTTGAAACAACTCGAGCCAAGTCATTTACAAGATCATACATCACAAGTACCTTTAGAATTTCCAAATTTGATGATAATATAAAAAGATTAATAAACAGAATGCCAAAACACAACAAATCCATCATTGTGAAAAAACCAATATCCAAATCATACAAGTCGCCAGCAATCAAAATGAAGAGGGAAGAAGTAGAGTAGCCAATTACACACCATTCAAGCAAAAACTAGTACAAAAAAATAAACTCAATATGTAAATATTCCCAAATCCAAAAGTGTCAATCAAAGCCAAATTAAAATGAAGAGTTTAAAACAAAGCAAGAACAGCGGGGACAGATGACGCGGGGAAAAAATTCAAATCTAGATTCAAAACACCAGATTGAAAAAATCGATCTTGCCGAATTTTGGGAGCAGGAAAAGCCCTAGGGTTCGAACCTTCTTCACTGCTTGCCCCAGAACAACGCAGGGCTGACAGCGGTGAACGACGTCCGACGGAGTATGGGATTCTTGTTCGTCGACTAAGAGAACTGGCTCCGCTGCTCACGAGGAAGGGTTTTATCGGGGTTTACAATTGATTTTAGGGAGAATTTGGTATAGGCCCCAAATTAATTATTAAAATAGCAAAACTGATTACTCTAAATAATGAAATTTATTTTATAAATTTGTCAAATAAATTTTACACAATCTTACCTTATGTTAATTCTTCATTAAAAATTATAAGAATTTTTAATTAAATTTTTTCTTTAATAAAATAGTTATTTATTTTTAAATTAATCTTATTTTTTATATTTATCCTTATTAAATGTCTTATAATAAATATAAAATTATTGTTAATAAAGGCACTTTAAAAAAAAAAACAGTAATTATTATACTTTAAAAAATTAAAAATATCTTACATTTTTTAATATCTAACTTTTTAAAAAATACTTTATATTTTTAAACAAAGAAAGTACAAATTATTAAATGATAAAATAACAATTTGTTTTACAAATTTTTATATCATACATAAAGATATTAAATATTTACATATAATAAAATACAAATTTTGTTAAAAAATTATTTTTTATAAATACACGAATATAATAATTATATAAAAAGTAAAAATATAAGAAATTTTATAATTTACATTAATATTTATTAAATTAAAGTAAATCAATTTTAGATTAAATTAAAATTTATATTAAATTAAATAAAATAAAAAAATGAAATACCAGTTATTATAAATTTAAAAGGTTACTTGTTACACACCAAGAATGCAACTTATAACACTTAAAAAATATATATTTTATATAAATAATAAAATTAAATTTCAATCCTTATAATAGGAGATGGTTGATATTTACAAATTTATATATTATTAAATTTTTAAAAGAACTTTAACAAGAAAATTGCCCCACGAGTTTATTATTATGTATCGGTCACGCATAACAGTGTTATAAAAGTGTCTAATCACTCAATCACCTACTATTATGCGTTTAACATTTTGACTCATCAGAATAAACATGTGCATGTATCAACAAATCAGTTTAGAGTCATCAAATAGCAAAAGTCACCAATCTCTTTACCAAAAACAACATCAACATATTTGTGAGAGTCAAAGACAACACCTTCAAATTTCAAAAATAGAAATATTTATGGTAGGAGGATGCTATACCACACGGGCAAATTTGGGGCAATAATAAAAAAATCATACAGTACATTTCTAATCTTTTCATACACACACTGAATATTTTTCTTCCTTGTTTATTTCAATTTTTGTAACACAGACAAATATTGGAGATGAAAATACAAAAGGATAAATAATAGAATATCGATTTTTAGAATGAAAACCACAGATACCGCATGAGATATGGTTATGAAAATGGATTTTGTGGGAGTCCAATAGATAATTCAATTTCCACATATTTTTCTGTTTAGCTCATTGCTGCTGTGATAATGTTCTTCCAGATTCACTTTTAACTCGATTTCTCCTTCCCTCCTTCTATTGGCCTTGAGTTCTAAGCTCTACCAATAATTATTCCCATAAACTGAGACACACAGAGGAACTCACCTTGATAATGGTGGCCATCACAGGAAGACGAAACGCGAATGGCATAGGGGCCATAACAATGACACAATGTTGCGATGTTTAGAGTGAGAGGTTAGTCAAGCAAAGGCTACGACAATTTGTGGGCTAGGGTCAACGTTCCTTGTTAAGAAAATGATGATAAAAAAACCTTTCATTGATCAACTCAAATGATGATTAGAAGTAATATAACATTCCTTGACTTGAAGGATTACAAATCAATCAATCTATTTGAGTAATGAATAAACCCCATTAAAGAAACAGAGGAGGAAAAACATACCTTTAGTCGATAATTCACATGTACGTATGCGGGAACAAAGTTACACCAGTCGAACTTCATTCGGGTACACAACAAACGCACTCTGAGAGAAAAACCTTGTAAGGAGAAAAATGAGACCGATGATAAAAGACCGAGAGGGTTCTGTGTTTCTCTTCATGCAGAGAATCCAAATTTTGAACCGACTGAAACCACACCCATAACCACCTCTTATGGGAATGTGCGGCAGTTTCTCCAACCGCCCAGGTTTCAAATTCAAAAGTTGGAGAATATTACATTCTAAGGCTCTGAGTAAATCGCATTTCATAATTCTCATACGAGCCCCATTCCCCAATTTGAGCTTTTATATGGGCCTGATCCATCAAGGGTGGATAGCCTAACATCTCCCACTCACACTTGGTGGAGAAGATAATGTCAGTTCTATCTCTTTCTCTTTCCTCTCTTTATACTAGGTGCTTTGCCGTGACCGCATAGGCTTGACGTCTTCATTTCAGTTATTTGTACTAGGGAATCCTATTAAGGACCAGCACAAATAACTTTAAAGTTGATTTTATTCTAGATTAAATTCGTGCCTTAATGTCCTAGATTTATCAATATACACTTTTTCTCATTATGACTAATCTGATCCCTCTTAAGTCAGTCCAAGACTCAGATAGTTTTTCTTATATGCATAGTATCCACACTTATGAATTCACAAATTATTTCATAAGGAACATGTCTTGAATACGAGCATAGATGTGTATATTTAAGATAATCTTCCTTTTGCCCATATACCACTTTGATAGGAAACGGTCGCTTTCCTAACATGAAACCTTTAGGTCGCATCAATCATGACTATAGGGTGCATGTTAAAGTAGTAAACACTGTAATATATCTCCATGATAATGTCAAAGTCAAAGGACATCAATGAAAAAATTTTTTCCTTTCTGGGACTCACACAGCAATGAAGCAGGGATTTATTCACTTCCTTCCCATTGCGATTCTTAAGCACATGTGGTATGAAACACATGTTATGGTGTTACTCTTGCTTATAAGAGTGTACGTCATTTTCATTTATTATTAGCACCATATAAACATAGATTTAGATATTCATTGTATCTAAACCCAAATTCTTCTTTTCTATTGATCTCACATGACATCAATTTAGAAGAATTTATCATTTGGCTACAGGTATTATGGATATGGCGATCCATGATTCGATCCAAGTATGCTTACGGATCTCATCTCGACTTGCTCTTTGATTGAGGCGACATATGATTTGTGTTTCTTTTCTACCAAATCAACATTTTTGTTGCCTTGCTAGTGAACACTAATGTCTCATCTTTGATTTCAATATCAAAGGTAGTTGCTTGTGTGAGAGAGTCAACCTTATCAACCTGTACAACATACTAGACATTGTATGTTCTCAATTGTACACATATAGAAGTAAAAAAAATTATTAATATAACCAATATATTACATCAAGTCAATCTAGCCGTGCCAAGAGCCCTTACATGTTTCTCAAATATTTCCTTGGCTACGGGTTTTATTAGGGGATCTGCTATCATACATTTCGTGGAAATGTATTGAACAGTGATAACCTTTTACGCTATATAATCCCTTATAAAATTGTACTTAATGTCTATGTGTTTGGTTTTGCTATGATATTTAGGATCTTTAATATAGGCTATGGTTGCAGTATTGTCATAATGAATTAACATTAGATTTGTACTTTCATTTCCAAACCCAAGATGTTCTATAAATCTCTTAAGCCATATAGCCTCTTGCACTGCTACAGTACATGCTACAAACTCAACTTCTGTAGAGTGTAGGGCAATGCATGTCTGCTTCTTGCTACTCCAACAAATGGCCCCATTGTTTAGCAAGAAAGTGTAGCCTAAAGTTAATCTTCGTTCATCTTCATCTCTGCCTAAATCCGTATCGGAGTATCCTATCAGGTGCAGATCACTCCCTTGATAACACAGTGCATGGTCAATAGTATCCTTTAAGTATCTTAAGATCCTCTTTATAGCTTTCCAATATCCTTCTCCGGGGTTGGATTGGTAGCGACTCACAAGTTCTACGGCATAACAGATATCTGGTCTTGTACACATCATTGCATACATCAAACTTCTGACTGCACTAGCATATGGAACTCTTTCCATTTTCCTTTTGGCCATCTCAATTTTAAGACCCATATCAGGACTAAGCTTCACACCTGAAGCTACTGGGGTATCCATGGGTTTACAATCTTTCATATTAAAACGCTCAAGAATTTTCCTTATATAAGTCTCTTGTGACAAATAAAGAAGCTTCTTAAAGCGATTTCTTTGGATTTTAACTCCACGAATATATTCTGCTTCACCCATGTCTTTCATTTCAAAATTCGACGAAAGCCATTCTTTAATAGCGATTATCAAATCCAGACTATTTCCGGCTAGTAAAATATCATCCACATAAAGAGATAATATTACAAAGTTCCCATTAAACCTCTTGATGTAAACACAGTGGTCTTTCTCAATCATTTGGAAGTCATACGAGGTTATTGCTCTATGAAACCTCAAATACCATTGTCTGGATGATTGTTTTAGTCCATAAATTGATCTATTTAATTTACATACTTTATTTTCTTTTCCTTTTTCAATAAAACCTAATGGCTGTTGCATATAAATTTCTTCATCCAGATCACTATTAAGAAAAGCAGTCTTTACATCCATCTGGTGCAACTCTAAGTTCAGACTATTTACTATTGCCAGAATCAGTCTAATAGAATTGAAGCGTACAATAGGAGAAAATGTATCCTCATAATCTATTCCCTCTTATTGTGTATACCCTTTTGCTACTAAGCGAGCCTTGTATTTATCAATTGATCCATCCACTTTTCTTTTGATTTTGAGAACCTACTTGTTCCCAATAGCCTTTCACCCATGTGGTAAATCAACTAATTTTCATACTTTGTTAGTCCTTATGGAATCCATTTCTTCATCCATTGCTTTCTTCCACTTATCCTTAACAGGTCCTGATAAAGCTTCATTTACAGAACGTGGCTCATCATCATCTAAAGGAGTTACTATTAATGCTTCACCCTTAATTTGGAAGCATCTTTTTGGCACACTTTCTCTATTACTTTTTGAAGTGGGGTCTCTTGTGGATTTTGATTCTTTTCAGGTCTTCTAAAAGACCTTTTAGAGCTCCCACTTAAATCAGCATTTTGCAATGATTCAGGCCTTTCTATAAGTTCTATATT